ACGCGCGCACACACGCGCGCGCGCGCGCGCGCACGCACGCGCGCACACGCACACACGCACACATGCACTATCGCACTCACACGCGTACCCGCATATACACGTAATTATTGAATTTTTTTTTACAGCTTGTCACTAAGACCTTAGAAGCATTACGGCTTTAATATGTATTTTCCAGCTATGAGTGGCTTTTATGACCATGTAGATTTAATGCAGTGAGTTCTTTAGTTCTTAGGCGAAACACGTCTTTGTCCAGCAAGTGGCTGCTGAGATTCTTCAGTTCACTGGAAACCGCTTCCTTACTGTGTAAGATAGCAAACTCTGCTCTGTGGGAAACCAAACATACACTGATTGCAGAGCCTGGGTCACGTTTCATGTGGGTTCAGAAACTAGGAAGCTGAATACATTGGTTTTTACATTTTCATTATCCTAATCCGGTGCAGCAGGGTAAATACGTTGTAGTATAAAGGTGCCCATGCACCTTACGATTATCGGACGAAACTTTTCGTCCGATCGAATAGTCGTACGATTTTCGTACTGCAGCCCCCTCCTGCCCCAATCAAGATTAATTTAGCCGTAATTGTTAGGATCCAGAGCGCCTCCAGGTGGCGCTGGAGCTGAGCCCTGCAGTTCCAGGGCTCACCTGCAGGATTCTCCAGGGGCTGCTAGGTGCCAGACCACCACTGGGTGGTGCTGGTACCTGCAGCTCCAGTGCTCCCCTGTGGGTGTCTCCCAGCTGCCAGGAATCAGCCCATTGGGTATTGCTCTGGACCTTGGCTCAGGATTTCGTTGCTTTCCCCTGTTGTCTGAGTCCTCTGGCCTGAACCCTGAGACCCTGATATTTGCATGCTATTTTAGTACCCTGTTTCCTGTGTTGTTACATTATTGGTTTATGCCTGTTGTGGATTGTTTTAGTTAGCTTGCTAGGTTTATTAAAATATTTATATATACCATACTTACCTGGTCCGTGTGGTCACGTGTTTGGTCTGCCTGTAAGGGTACCTGTGCAGGTGTGGGGTCACCTGCGCCGGGATTCCCTGACAGTAATTAATGAAAAGCACCTGGATGATCTAGCAAAGTTTTCAAACATGCTTGACCGTCAAAAGTCGTACGATTGTACAGTAATGTCGGTCGGACACTGCAATGCACACATACGATTATCGGCCCAAAAGTCGATTGCATGCGAAAATCGTCCGATAATCGTAAGGTGTATGGGCACCTTTTTAGATGTGCTGATACAGTATTTACAACTAGGATTAGAAATATATAGATTTTGTCTTATCCACAGTGAATGCTTTTTGACCCATATATTCTTTTATGACATAAGCTGTATTATATCCGGTGAAGAGAGGTTCCGTTCACTGTACTATTGTTAAAACAAATAACACTTGTTATAGCTTATTGAATTTAGCCTCATGTTTTGGAGGAAAAAAGACCCCCTAAATTAAAGTGTCTAAAGGAAGCAGTATCTGTTTTGCCTATACTAAGAAATCACATTATCCTATTTATTAGGGCTGCAGCTAACGATTATTTTCATAATCGATTAGTTGGCCGATTATTAAGTTCGGTTAATCGGATAAAAAAGAAAAAAAAAGGCTCCAGTGATGGACTACTAGTTTGTATTGAGATTGTAGTCCATCACCGGAGCAAGCTTGGCGCGGTGGAAGTAAAAAAAAAGTGTGGTGTGCAATATAGTACATTATACAGCGGCGCAGTGCAGAATACTAGCAGCTATAGAGGAATGTAGCTATAGTACATTATACTATAATGTACTATTGCTGGGATTTGTAGTCCTCTGTAGCTGGCGTTATTCTCCATTGCGCTGTATATAATGTATTATTGCTGGGATTTGTAGTCCTCTATAGCTGGTGGTATTCTCCATTGCGCTGTATAATGATTATACTGCGCAATGCAGATTACCACTGACCAGTTATAGAGGAACTACAAATCCCAGCAATAATACATTATACAGCGCAATTGAGAATACCACCAACTATAGAGGAACAACAAGTCCCAGCAATAATACATTATACCGGGTGTTTAATATATTATTGCTGGGATTTGTTGTTCCTCTATAGCTGCTGTTGTTCTTCAGTGTGCCGCTTTTTTTTCTTTTTTAAACAGGAAACATTAAAACTGGTCTCCCTTACCTGTTTCTGAACCCTTGTAAGTTGCGGCGGCGTGCTCTGCGGGCGTGTGTCTGGCTTGTGTGGTGGGCGTGGCATACGCGGCGTGGTCGTGGCGTGCATAGCGTAACTCGTACCTGTTCCAACATATCACCCCTGTACTCCTGTTCCACAACGGCACCCCCACACAACTATTCCACCATTGCACGCCAATACACTGTTCCTCGCTGCAGCTTCATACACCTGTTCCACCGCTTCACACCCATACAATTGTTCCACACAGCACCTCCACACACCTCTTCCACTACTGCACCCATACACCTGTTTCACACAGCACCCTTGTACACCTGTTCCACCACAGCACCCCCAAACACCTATTCCACCACATCACACTCATACACCTGTTCCATACTGCACCTCCATACCCCTTTTCCACCACCACAACCCCGCACACCTGTTCCACCACTGCATCCCTGCACACCTGTTCCACCACTGCAGCTCCGTACACCTGTTCCACCACTGCAGCTCCGTACAGCTGTTCCACCACTGACTTGCTTTCAGAAGGTGGGCCCTCGATTGTCAGCGGGCCAGCGACGGGTGAGGGAGATCGCGCCGAGGAGAGCAGCGGCGTGCACGGCTTCAGCGTGCGGTGGGCGTGGCTTACGCGGCCTGTGCCGTGGGCACGGCGGCCGCAACGGGAGCAGCGTGTGACGTGCGGCTCAGGCCGCATGTGGAGCCCCGAACAGGCAAATCAATCGATAGCCGACGAATCTACGATCGAAAACGTTGCCAACGTTTTCAATCGTCGATTTTAATCGACTAAATCGATTAACTGTTGCAGCTCTACTATTTTTATACGCTTAAAAAGCCCAATTCTAGTTTATTATGAATAACAAAGGTTGGCCAGCAATTCTAAAGAAAAGCAGCTCTGTTTCAATTTCAATGTCAAGCACAGTTCATCTTCCACATTAAATGACACTCAGGCTTTAAACCTTTTAAAGGAGAAATCTAGCGAGTTCATTTGACTATGGAACTACCAATGAAGGGAAGCTTTTCTGCATATGGATCACCTTATAAAGACAATTCAGAGTTAAAGTGGAAATGTATATTATAAGGAGGCAGCTGTAGAATAAGTATATTAAGTGCCCTATTAGTAACTCATGATCAGCTTAAAGGTACCCATACACTGCTCGATTCTCGTATGAGAATCGCGAGAAATCCGGCGATCGTACGAGAATCAAACAGTGTGAACGAAGACGTGCGACCGTTTCTACTGTACGGTCGCACGTCTTTTGTCTAAGGAGCACGTTAGAAAACCAGCCGAGAATCGTACGATTTTCGGCTGGTTTGAACAGTGCTCGGGAGACAAACGCGCACACTGCCCGTTCAGCATTGCGTTCATCGGAAGCCTGCCCCTCAGGGGGGCGGGCTTGCGATCGAGAGTGCGATCTGCCTGTCCAAGATGTGCAGATAGTACGTTTATTTAATCGCTTTACAACCATCGCAAGACTAAGGTCTTGCGATGGTTGTACAGTGTATGGCCACCTTTAGTGGCTTTGCACAGAGATAAACGAATATGCATACGTGCATGCACACACACTCTAAAGGCATGTGCAAAGAATAGACTTCAATTACTGCAGTGTAAAATTGTATCAGCAGATCTTGAGGCAGATTGAACTTCCTGAGCAGACACAGGACGTACATCCTTTGCTGGATTGGGTCAGTACTGGATGTCCACTTCAGGTCCTGGGAAATTATAGAGCTTATAAATCTGAAGGTACTGTTGAGTATGGGGAGAGGAAACCTTGTGTATTGGGAGGGAGGTTCTCTTGAAATTCACCATTTCCATGGTTTTGAGCATGTTAAACTCCAGGCTGTTACAACTGCACCACAGGGCTGGCGGGTCTACCTCACGTGTATGCTAGTGATTTTATAAACATTTAACCCTTTCACTGCCACTTGTGTAAGTTCTACGTCCATGGAAGTGCTCCCCTGTAAACGATCCAGCCAGGAGTCAGTTTACTTTTGTTCAGCCGACTCCCAGTTACAATGTGGAAGTGTTCACTTCCTGCAGCATGCTGCCTTACCCGCTACTGTCCCCTAAAAAGAAAATTCTTAGCACCTTATGTGATGATGATAAAGTTAAGTGTGAAAAAAAAAGTTTAACCCTTTTGCTGTCAGGCCCTGCGGAACGCTTTTAACCTCAGCTGGCCACAACTCTTTTTGCAATTTTTCACTTTTTATTTTTTATTTTCAGCTTTAGAGTTTGTAAAAAACCCCCCCCCCCCAAACCATATATTTTCTGAAAGCGCAGGCCTGGTAGAATAAAAAGATGGTGTTACTAATTTTGTAGGTCCTGCGATAATTGTGCAAATGTTTATCAAATCAATATTAAACCGATTTAAAAAATACACAAATTAATAAAAGCACACTAAAATCAGTATCGGTGCACACAAACACTTTCCCGACTAAATCTAGAGGATAGTGTTTTTGAAAAAGGAATTGTAAATGGGGCTCTATTGGTTGCCAGCTGACACAAACAATAATTGTAGAAAAAAACAAACTTCATATCATTAAAAGATTATAAAAACACACGCATTCCCCTTTATTTATAATAAGTAAGCATGATACTGGCACAAACATTAAATCCCCAAATACCACTCCAATAAAATTCAATGCATGATTGTTCAATAAATAGTACAATAACTCATAATGGTACTGAAATGGAGTGGTTAACAATTCTATGCATTTCACACTTCTTGCACTTCTTGAATTTGTTGATTTTGGAGGAATCTACAATAGCCACACAAAAAAAAGCTGGTAGGTATCACAGCATATTATGTAAAACATATATTAATAAAATATATCTAATTATAAAAAAAAACATAGCCAAATGTGCATAATCAGTAACATAGACTAAGTATTTCAAGGTCTGTGCGTGTAGAGAAGCCTTCGGCTCCAATTGGACAACTACATTGAAAACTGACCTAAAATAATCAGCAGAGAAGGTGCTGGCGGAATCATTATATACCGTGTGTGTGTATATGTATGTGTGATGGATACAGTATCTCACAGAAGTGAGTACACCCTTCACATTTTTGTAAATATTTTATTATATCATTTCATGTGATGACACGTCATCACATGAAATATGTATATGGATGGATGGATGTATATGATATGAAATGATTGTATATGGGTGTACATTTGCTGTCCCCTCAAAATAACAACACACGTCCATTAATGTCTAAACCGCTGGCAACAAAAGCGAGTACACCCTTAAGTGAAAATTTCCAAATTGGGCCCAATTAGCCATTTTCCCTCCCAGGTGTCATGTGACTCGTTAGTGTTACAAGGTCTCAGGTGTGAATGGGGAGCAGGTGTGTTAAATTTGGTATCGCGCTCTCTCTCTCTCATACTGGTCACTGGAAGTTCAACATGGCTTGACATGTTTGGTATCCATTTGCTTAACACAACCTCAATTTTGTGTTTCTGTGCACTAAAATTAATTTGGATGCAATTTTTTACTTAAAGTTTGGGTTTGATCAACTGTTGAGCTAGTATTGTGTGGCTTAAAAAATTGCAACTACAACATTTTATTTTCTAGGCTCTCTGCTTTCAGGAAATGTAATGGGGGGGCAATTTTCTGTCCTAAAATATGCATTTTAACGTGTGCAACAACGGCTCTGGTGTTAAAGATCTAGCAATATTATCCCACTGACTTTTTTTTTTGTTTTGTAATATTTTTTGCAGCCAAACTCCAGGATTTTAAGAACTTTCTCCTAGAGGACAAGGAGACAGTGGAGCGAATTGCAAACCTCCGTCGGCGTGTAGAGAAGTTTGCACGTGCCTTCCCCATGCCAGGATTTGTTGAACGCTAGAAGCGGATAGACTCTGGGGAGAAAGCTGCTCCTTTTTGCCCTATGCAATCTTTCTCTTGTCCATTCTCTTTAGTATGCCTTTTCATTATTAAACACTCCTTCATACTTTCTTACTTTCCTCCTTGCTAATTGTGGTGCAGCAACTTCCAACATGATTTCTAAGACTTGCAAAGGACTGTGGATTCTACTACTAGCAACAACAGTGAAGGTTTTGATGACTGTAGACTCAATAAAAGCAATAACATCAATGTTGTGACTGCTTTTACTTCCCCCTCCCCAATCCCAACAATGGTGTACTATATCATCTCAACATCAACAATGTTAGCCAATATTTTATAAATAATCACCTGCCTATATAGTGTGTGTATATATAATATTAGTAGTCCTTCTTTTTTTTTTTTTACCATTTTTTTGGACACAATGTCTATATTACATATGTAAAATAATGTGGGATGGTTTAGTTCAGTCATTTTAAGAAGGCAGAGAACTGCCAGTCCACAAAGTGATTAAATGCTTTTCACTTGTCTTCAGGGAAATTCAAGGCTGCATCTGCTTTAGAGCAAAAAGAACACAAGGGCAAGTCTTAGCCAAACAGTAAAGGTCAGAAAGGATGAACCTCCTTGGCTACTAATGGCTTCCTTGACAAGGGGTCTTAAGGCTTGTAATAGCTTGTTGTGAACAATAGAAGTTAACATAAATTCATATCTTCTGTTTCTTATGGTGCTGTTTGGCACCAGGTTTTGTTACTCCTGGCCAGTACTCCTCGCTCACACAGGTTGTATGGCATACTAATGGGATGCTAAGAGGTTTTGTGGATTGAAGACCCTGACATCAACTGAAGTTGGAGATATGCAGATTACTTTTCTTTTTGCTCAATAATTAGTTTAAAATGAAAAGAATGATTCTCAGTGTTTTTAATTGGTCAAATTGATCAATTATGATCTTGCTGTTTCTTGCTTGTGTGGCCAGCTTACAGTATATTAATGCACATTTTCTGTCTGTTTGGTCAGCCAGATTAATAAAGACAGCAGATATAGCTGGATGTGTGGGCACAGTGCTGTCCACTGGATGGTCTTTTGAAAGACCTTTCCATGCACTGAACATTCAAGTGTATAGGAGGAGGAACACTGCCTCCAGACCACTACAGTGCCAGCTTATTACAGGGAAAGGAATAGTGACCAGCTTAAAATATCCTACATGCCAATTACTCCCAGTCCATTGCCAATGGGTGTTTGGTAGCCTCCTACTACCTACTGGCAAATGGGCTTATTAGACCTATAAACATTTTCTGTTTTATGTAGAACAAGTGTGAGAAGAATGTGTGCTGTGCTAAATGGTAAGTAAAGTTTCATTTATTGTTGCATTACAAAGTTACATTGTTATTGCTCTTGGTTCTGCCTTATTGAAGCTGACCACCAAACGTGAATATTCTCTGGTTCCTCTGTTCCTGCTATGCCACCGGCAAACTAACCTTCCGTCAGGGGTCTCTGCAGACAGGTTATAGGATGGTCAGAGGGTGAAGCTACAGTGTCTCTGTCCTTCACAGCAGCTGCTTAAATATTGCTATACTCTCAGGTGGGACAAAGATAGGTGTGTCTATTATGCTTTGAGTTCATCTGGTAATGGCCATACACCGTTTTGCTTTTGTCATGATGCAAGCTATGCTGTACTACCAGGGGATGTGTAGGTGAAAGGTCACTCAGTGCCATCATATTTCCTGCCGACTTGTCACCCTGGAAGACCAGCAGGGCTGTTTTTGTGCTTCTGGGGAAGTGGATTATTCACATACATATATTGGATATATAGTAGTATCTAAATAATCCATATCTATATATAGATTTTCTTTGGCTGGAGTAATGCTTAAAAAAAAAAAAAAAAAATCCAGAT